AAGCAGACGGCCCAACAACGACGGCTAATTTACCGGAAAAATAACGGAGCAACAGTTTTTGCACTTTCCTAAAATATTTTCTCAGACAAGAAGAAAACAAAGATGAGGATGTGAAGGTTTTGATGATATATTAGTTCTGTATATATATATATATATATATATATATATATATATATAATTTAAGTACGTCCGCTTTTTCTTTTACATACTTTCAATTGACAAAAATACAATCTCGTTTAGGTTAGTGTTTTTGTTTTTCTTTTTTTAAAAGGAAATTTGTTGAAGGGAAGATGATTAAGTGGTAGCCACCGATAATGGCAGAAAAGACGAGTTTACCTAAGTTTTTTTCATTTACCGCTTGCTTTTCTTCTTTTTCTTTTCTCATCCGTCTTCTTTTTAGTTTACCAAATTTTTTATCTATTTACCTGTCGTCAGTATGAGGTCGACCAACAAACGCGTACCGTTTTTATTTGTTCAATGTATTTTCGCTTTTTACTCGTCCTTTTTTCCCCTATACCTTTTCCCGACAGTCTCCCCCCCTACCTACGTTTCTCGCAATTTTTTGGTTTCTGAATCCCGTGCCAAACCTTCGTCTTCTTCCTGCATTCCTCGCCTTTTAAAGATCCAGTATCATAAGATGTGCAGGTTATTTTGTCATCGTAATGTCCGAACAGATACAATTAACATATGAAACAACGGGGAAAATAGTACATCCTTTTACAATCGGAAAATGAAATATTAGAAGAAAAGTGGAGCTCTTTTTTTTTTTTTTTGTTTGACTTCGATATTCGAACATTGTAATAGCCATTTTTTTTGCACCTTCTTTTTCCCATCAACTTAACGACTTATGAAACAGTAGCAGAATGGATAGGTAATGAATAAGAAAAAAACAGTAGTATTTTAGTTGAAGCAAAAAGGGAAATAAATTTAGTAAATTTTTAGTTTTTTATTAATATTTGCAAAAAAAATTAAATTTTTTTTTATTGTTTGTTTGTCTTTGTAAAAAAAAAAAGTATAATCTTATGGTTTTTGGTTGCTCAATTTGAGGTGTTTTTCGTTGTTTTTATTTATCAGAAACTGTTATTCGTTGTCTACTTATACCGTTTCTTTTTCATTTTTCTATTTAATTATTTTTTTTTTACTTTCAAACAAATTGACTGTTTAAATTTTACTTCAAAAATTAGCAAATATTTTAAGGTTTGTTCACGGTTTACCTTTTAATATTTTTTGGCTAGAAATTGTGCTGTGGTGTAGTAAGTGGCTTAGTTCTTCAGTTAAACGGAAACAGTTTGTTAAAAAAGCTGTTACTATTACAGCTGCTATTGCTGCTTAACTTAAAATTATGAAGAGATTGGTAAAGTATTTAGGACAAACAAGCAAGTGAAAAGTTTTTTAGTTTACTTTTTGACTTATATAAGAATTGTCGTTTTAGTTTATTTTATTTGCTTGTTTATTTTTTTATTTTAATTTATTTTATTTATTTTTGGTGGAAATGTCTTGACATTTAAGTTGGATGGGAAAAAGAACATACAGTATAGTTGGAATAAAAAAAAAAACATATGTTTTTAATTTTCACTGAATTTTTTTAGTCTAAAACTTATCAAAAATTAATTGCAAAATAAAAAAAGAAAACATGTTTTTTTTGTCGGCTTAAATTTATTGTTTTATTATAGTTTAAATAAATGTTATATGAGACTGTAAATTAGTCTGAACAATTATTTTCTGTTTTGTTAAGTTTTTTGATAGTGCATTATAATTTAACACCTCATATTAATATCAGTTAGTTCCGTAGCAATTGAGACGAAAAGGGATAGCGGATGACAAGGTCTCAACTCTGCTGAGAGGAGATGGTAAGGCAGGAAAAGAGGAAGAACGACGGAGGAAAGCAAGGAACGGACGTGTTCTTTGTTTACGATGAATCAGTTCAACATTGAGCATTAACAGTTGTGAAAATTTTGATGGTGGAAAATTGAAGAAAAAAAAAGAAGCTTCAAACACATATAGAAATTTCTGTCCGTATCAGCTGATAATGACGTTCGCAATCCAATGAGACGGGCTCATTTGCCTTAGCACCCGACACAGTATCAACCAACACTTAACCAACAAACAAACGTCATAGTTTGACGGTTATAAGGGACGACAATTAAAACTGTTCTCCTCATTAGTTGAGTACTGCAAATTGGTTCCAATTGTAAACTCTATGAAATTATAGTTTCTTTTCTTATTTTTTTTTCTTTTTTTGCCTGGCACATTTTTTTGGTTATGAAATTTTTGTTCACCAATGAATCGGAAAACTTCATTTTGTTAGTAAAGTCGTTTGTATGGGGCGAATCGGTTGAAAGGGAAAAAAACATTTTTTTTAAAAACACCAAATTTATTCAACTGTAGGAGCACTTCCATTCAAAAAAAAAGCAATATTTTTCAATTTGGTTTTGTTATTTTTTGAGTTTTTTTGTAACTGACATCAAAGTAGAGGGAAAAGAAAAGAAAACAGTTTTCAAGCCTTTTTTTTTCTTTACTTGTTTTTTTTTTTTTGTTGTTTTCTTGGAAGATTGGAAAACAAAATAACTGGTACGTGAAGGTAGACCTTCCTTTTTCTGTAGTTATTGAATACAAAAAACTATTTAAGTCTAGAAAAAGGGCATATTTCTGTTTCGTTTTATTTCTTGTTTTGAAATCGTTCTTCAGAAGCTTCAAATGTGTTGATTTTTGCGAAGAAACTGGTGAACCAATGGGAAGTTTTTTAACAGAGAAATGCAACAGAGAAAAATCTCCATTATTAGTCAGTGTTTATACAAATAATCCAGCATTTTTCGTAGTCTACTTTTTACCTTAACCAAGGCATAACACTAGGTTTTTTTATTATTTTGGAACTTTTATACTTTTCTTTCATCTTTTCATTATATCTGAAAGTGCTCATGATGCATTGTACATTAAAACAACAGGAAATTTTTATACATTTCTGTCGCAAAAACACTGATTTCAGTGTTTCGTAAAAGCTAAAAAGTAGAGTCATTAAAAAATTTTTCTTAGTTAAACTGTGGCGGTGCCTAGTTATCTGTCTTCTTTCGTTTCTTAGTTATACATAGAAACTTGATTATTAAAAACGAAACTATATATTTGGGGCCGTTTATAGTCTCTCAGCAGTTTTTCTAGGCTAATTTATTTGCAGTTTATAAGCGACTTGCGATAATAATGGAAGATTTTTGCTTGAGCAGTCTGCTAATGAGGCTCTGTATTCATTTGGAAGTGCCTTTTTTCTGCACTCTTATAGTTTTATATAATAAAAGTTTTGCTATTCTTAAACAGTCAAAAAAATTACATGTGTGCTTAACGACTAACATTAAAATTAGGTCGTATGTAATACTTTATCAGCTTTTCAAGTTATAGCTGCTTTTTTTTGGACTAATAATGATTGTACTAGCAATCAAGACAAAACATTTTTTAAGAAAAAGGCGAAGGAAAAAATTTTAAGGGTTTTGGAATTTTTTTGGCTGGTATGGGAATAGGTTGAAAACAGTGGGTTTCAATAGTACTTAGAAAAAGTGCTCAAAATATAATAATTTCATTAATTAGGTTACCCTTATAGTATGGGCGCAGAGCTCGGAATAAGTGGTTGTTGCATGCTCAAGACACAGGTTTTTTTTGTTAACTCTTTAAACTGATAAGTTTTTTAATTTCTGAGATCAATGTAACGTTTCTACTTCATTGTCCAATAGCTTAAAACCAATGACATGAACATTGGAGAAATCGCTGGGACAGTTGTACGATATTAGTCTAAATACGTAGCGAAGATTGCGTGAGCAGCTTTTTTTAAAACTCTACCAGATTATCATTGGCTGTTTAAGGAAAAAAATACTATAGGAAGCCGTCATCTGTCGTTGGGCAAAGAGTGCTTTAATTTCTGGCAAACATTAGAAATGTTGAAGATAAGATGCTACGGCTACGATATTACGTTGCCGTTCGCTAATCAATCAACGCTAAATCAAGGATTTTCAAGACAACTGTTTAAAAATTCTTTGCATGATATATTTGTATATTCTATACAGTAGTTTTCCTGAATTTCTTCTCTTTATCGTTTTAATTTGAAAAACTTACTTTTCCTTCTTGTTCTTCGTATTTATCTAAAAATTAATTAGAAAAGAATACAGAAAACAATTTACATTTGTCATTCAGAAAAGAATTTTGCCTGCATATTGCTGATTTGTTTACTGCTAGAGTTAGCTAAATAACCTAAAAGAAACAAAAAAAATTGATCAATTTTATCCCACATATAACTCATTTCTTTTAAACAGATATCGCAAAAATTCCAAAAAAGTATTGTTGAAATCTTTTTTCATCTGGAATTGAATTTTCAGCTCTGATTGCGAACATATTCTCGTTGCAGACTTTAACTTTTGCACTCGGTTGAAATTGTAAACTATAAACTAGGCCAGAAGTTTAGAAGGCTGCTAGTTAAGGTCTATTTTCAAGCATGACTTTATTATGACAGTAAAGTACAAGCAGAATATCCACTTGTGGTACTAATTAACGAGAGCAATTAAATTTTTGGCTGGGACAATTACGAAGAAAATGGGAACTACTTTTTGGTTATTGAAAAGAGGACAGGTTGGAAGGTGTTTTAGAATAACACAATGCACAGCGATAAATGTGTAAACCTTCAGGTAAAATAAAGTTGTAAAATTTGTTAGCACTGACTTTAACTAATTTTTCTGATTAATTTAGTAGATATAATAATATCTAGCATACAATCGACCAATTGTAACACTTTTTTTTTTCTAAAAACAAGATACAGAAAAAGTTATTGGCGCGGATAACGAAAACGAAATGATAAATAGCAAAAAAAAATTTTTCCAGTGCCCATAATTATCAATATTTTTTATAGAAATCGGAACGATTCCGGCCTCTTCATTCAATGCCATTCCAATAACACCATTTGCTAGTTATGCGGCTCCACCGCCACCATTTTATGTCAGTGGTGACATGTCAACCTCGCAGATTATTACACCACCACCTAATCCTACCAGTTTCTATCTTATTCCAGCCACAGGTATGAATTATAAGAAGGGAATGCTTATAAAAAAAGAAATTTCGAAATTATGCTGGTTTTTTCTGTTTATGTTCTACGATGAATGTGCTAGATGGAGAAGTGTTTGGCTTTTTTTAGCTGCTAAATTTTTTTGGAAGTTTTGCTGACAGCATCTCCTACAACATTGCCTTTTCTACAGTGCTATCTTTGTGTTTAACCTTCAGCAGAATTCCTCCAGCAATTGCTAGGATTTATGAAAAAAAAAGATTATTTGATAGAAAATAGCTGCCGACTATCCAAGAATGGTAAACTAACGAGATTTAGGTGGATGGGGTCGTCCACTGCTTACTCCCGGTGTTTTGCCAACGGGTGGTCTGGTTCCTCAGGTCACTGCACTTGATATGGAAACCTGGACTAAAGCTAATAAGGGTCAGTCGCCGAAGCCAAAAGCAAAAATATCGCAAAGCAAAGTTCCACAATTTCGTGAAGAGATGATTATTCGTAATAGCGACTCAGGAAAAAGTAAAACTAATCAATGTTTTTGGCAAAGAAGAAGACAGCAAAGAGGAAATTATAATATAGCTTTAATCATTGTAAATTCAAGTTATGGGTGTCAAAGGACGCAGAGTGGCTGTTGTTGAAGAGCTGAGCAAAACAATAATATCATTCCAAAAAGTTGATCCGAAAAGCAAAGACCGCACACTAACGATAACTGGTAGCAGTCAGGAAGCGATTGATCATGCGAAAAAGCTCATAGAACAAACAATTCGCCGAAACGTTTCCCCTTGTCGAGTTCGTTGTTTAATTTAAATAACAGCTCATTGAAGCTACTGAGATTATATCAAAAACTGCTACAAAATTGATAAGCTTTTTCAAACTGGTCTTATTCTTTACGGTTACTGACTCAGACAAGTCAATTTGACATTTATACATCACAATTTATGTAAGATTTAAATGAAAGCGCAGTAGAAATTACCAAAAAACAATATTATTTTAAAGACTGCATTATATAATGCGTTAAAATTAGCACCCAGCTATTAAGTATTGAGTAAAAATTAAACGCACAACGCCTTTTAAAAGTATACTTTAGTATTTCTTATCGCTTAGCTCATATTCTTGAATGAGCTGAAGTTTCGGAAGCGACAATTGAAGTAACACATCTGTTCCGTATGACTTATTGTCGGTATTAATAGAATTTCCTAGAAGAAATTTGATGATTTAACAAAATTTAAAATTATTCATAAGTGATGTAATCATTTTATTGCCTCCACTTGAAATACGCAAGATTTTTCCAGTTATTTTTATTGATGAAACTTATCCATTTTTACCTGTTAAGTAATCTACAAAAAAGTAGTGTTTTTTTAGGAGCGGAGAAATGTTTTGGCTTTTTATAAAATTTCCAGAAAGTTTGAGGAGAAGGACTTGTAATATGCACATTACAATTGCATGCTTATTTAAATTGCACAGTTAATGAAACTGCAAATAAGAAATACAGTTTTGCTTAACGTAATTCTGAATTTTACAAAAAATTTAAAAATAAAAGATTTATAAAGCTTATTATTAGGAGAAATTAGATCAGAAGAAAGTTGTTCCCTTATTGGTGCAAAAATTATTGCTCCTACTGTATGTTGCTCTATTACTTTATAACCTTAACAAAACTTTCTGATTTTGGTGTCCTACATTTTTTTTAAAAAACATTTTTATGTTTTAAAACGATATCAAGCTTTAGTTCTTTTTTTATACAACTAAAATTATGTTGTATCTACCATCAGAAATTATCAAGATAATTGGCAAATTTGATACTTACTGTCTTTTGCAGTTTAAGCTAGGAGAAAATAGTGCACAATTTTTTAGGAAAAAATTCTGACAGAAAAGGGTGAAGATGACGACTTGGGGATTTCAATAGAAACAACTCAGGATGGAACGTTGAAACTGTCATGTACAGATCCTCAAGTTTTACAGGTAAACAGCTGCGAATGATTGTTAGAACAATAACACATGTTATAAATAATATTTACAGGATTTAACACAGCGATAATTAGTTACTTTTTTTTTCAGACCATATCGTTCATTCATATAAATTCTGTTTCACCACGGTTACTGAGGTTTCTCAAATTTTGGTCATTGAAAAAAAAAAAAAAAAAAAAAAAAAAAAAAAAAAA